CTATCTATCTATCTATCTATCTATCTATCTATCTATCTATCTATCTAGTCAAAGTCTCACACGACATGGCCGACACATATGGAAATAAGAGGGTTGCATCCTCGGAGGAGAGATCACAGGGAGACGCATGCTGTCTGCAAAAGGCAATTGTAAATTCCCGACACGCCTAAAATATGTTAATGAGCCTTTCTGTCTCTCTGATATAATTACTGCGAGGGGATATTGCCTTTGGTGGAAAATATCTTCCTCACGGGCAGAAAGGAAGCGGGGAATGATAAAGTGGAGGGTACATAAATTCTCATTTGCCCTTCTTGTAAGTAAAGAGTGAAACTGGCAAATTCACTCGGAATGATGGGTTCACTGCATTCCTCTGTTAGTTCACGCTACTGTCCTGGATTGTTGCTTATTTAGGCTATTTAGGATCTTCAGGCTGGAAAAACAAGTGATGTGACGGCTGCTGGGGAGCTTTTATGGGGATGTTTTGTTCCTCTTTTGAATATGCTTCCTTTGATTTCATTTTGGAGGATGATAAGCATCTGTTTTTTGTGCCATGTGTTGAAGTTTTGTCAAATTTGCTTCTGAGAATCACAACCCAACAAAATAGTACATTTCACAAAAATCATTTAGCAGATTTCTCTTGAAAAATCAAAACTCGGCAAAACAGCAGATTTCTGAAAACAACGGTTCAGTCCTGATGAAACCGAAGTTTTTTTAAGCTTGATAAAATTTAGCTTAAACAAGGATTTTCAACTGATTACGCCGTGAAAACCCATAAATTAAAATATGTGTGCTGCAGTCCGTTCAGTCATTTCCAGATATCCGTGATTGCTGTCCTAACCTCCGAGTGATGATTCCACAGAAGCCTCACCCTGATTGTCCCTCTCCGCTTCTGGGGTCAGCAGCAAATGGATGCGTTCAAATGAGATGCGTTGATTGGAAACCCGGGGGTCTGAAGCTCCAATCAGAGGCATCTGCAGGAGCGTGAAGCTGCCGGGGGGCAAATTTCAGCCCGGAGCCCCGGGCAGAGCCCCGCCGGACGCTCTGGTTATCTGTCCTCTCCTGCTGTTGGTGGCGGTGGCCACTAGGGGGCAGTGTGATTCTCTCCCAGCAGATGGGGATGAGACGCACCGATGCACAGCACACTGCGATGCGCCCCGATGGATCCAACAGATAAAGCAGTTCATAAAAGCAAAGAACAAAGAGCCGTTACTGGAATCAAAGCTTAATTGAAACCCGAGCAGATCAGATCAAAGCTCTCTAACACACGTTTGCACGTTAAACTCAATAAATGCGGCCAAAGATTTCTCGTTGAAAGAAGGCAAAAGTTTTCATTACACTCATTGTTGCACATCAGTAGAAAATAAAAGCACAAAGACACCAGATGTAACCGACAGTGACCGTGGAACCTCTTTGTCAAAATCAACATAATGGAACAAAACAGTATGCTTTATATACATTTTAAAGAAAGGAATATTTTAAACAAGCTAGTCCCGAAATGCAGCAGGCCGATGAAAGAATGCGACAACAGAAAGACACCCAGAGGTAATAACATACCTTCCTCTCACTCCTCACCTTTCACATCATAATTATATAAAAAAAAGACATGTTTCCTTTGAGGTTTCTGGAGAGTGCTGCCATTACCATTACGGTAACATTCCTCATTAGGGGGACAGGAACCTGGCTGTCAGGCACTCCTTCTCTCTGGCAGTTTTGGGTCACCAGCCACACAACAAACACCATTACCAGGCAGAAAACCCGGCAAAAAAAGGCTGCCAGAGCTTCAAAAGAACAAATAAATCTTTAATCTTGGGTGTCTTTGAAAGTCTTGGAAAGTTTCCTCGGGGTCGGTAATAACAAGGCCTGAGAGGGACGACGGGTGTGTGCGTTTGTGTGTGTTTGCGAGTCGCTGTTTATTTATTTCTGGAACAAAACTGCAAGGAGAATGTAGATGTGGATGTTTTGTACGACGCCATGTGTTTTTTGATGGGATTTCGAACGTTCTCGTACATTCGTCTTATTCGATTCAGACTGTCATTGAATTCGTCCCAGTATTTTTTTCCCCAATTTGACTTTTACTCCACTACACACTTTTGTTTAATTGAATACTTTTACTTTTACTCTCACGGGCTGAAT